CTAAGACGATTATTTAAGACTATTAAATTCCTAATGAAATTTTTTGTCTGATATCTAATCGGTTTCTGGCTAAATTTTTTGTCTGATATCTAATCGGTCCTTCGTTGCGCTACGCGTGAACTTGGCGCGAGACACGACCGTGACTCTTGATTTGAGAGAATTTGTAATCAGCAATATGTAATCTGCAATAGATGATTTTGTAAAATAAAAATGTAACGACACGTTGTAGTCAAGATCTATAGTCATAGAATTACCGCGCATTACAATAATTATCAGATGAAAAACAAATAAAGAGCATTAAAACGCAAAACACGAAAACCATAGCTTTTCTGTGTTTCATTGCTGCGCTATAACCGTGTATTGAATTTCAGTAGGAATTCCAATAAAAACAGACAAGTTTAATTTCGACTAGAATCAGTTCTACAATTACAGCAACGAGTTAAAATCGCACAAATTCTTTTTTTTTTACGAAACACGCGGCAAAACATGCAGGATTTTGATCCGCGGCGTTATATACACGATAGTCTTTAACTTTCGCGAAATGGATAAACGATTTGGATTCAATTTGGATTTCAATTCAAATTCGCGCAATCGACCGTAAACCAAACTTTTTGTGAAAAGCGTTGCGATCTTGTAAAGTTTGAGATTTGAAGGATGAGTCCATGAAGAATTCTAATAAAAAAATTATGTATTCCACGTAGCAACTTTATCATAGTGATGGAATCTCGTATGTAAGCACATTCTTTGATAAATTTTTCCTTGCAATATCAATTTCCATAAATGCATTTAGAATATGGTGCACAAAGAATGCTCAATAAAAATTTAATATACTCAATTTTCTACACTGTCGTAATTATGATGTATCTGCCTGTTAGCGAAAATTCTTATCACATATGCTTCCGAAGTAAGTTTCTTACTTCGGAAACTTTTCGAACAAAATAAATATTATCACATGAACAAACGGTTTCAACAAAATTAAAATATTGGAAGTACATTCCTGTTTAACTAATAAATGTATCAAAAAATTTGAATATGTATTTCGACTCTTTCGTAACATTTTTTTTAATAAATGATAAGTATTAATAGTATTTCAAACTGGGGACTTTAAAGTAGCACTCTGATAAGAGTGACCTGATACTGTAACTTTTAAATAAAATATAAGATGTTTTAAATACATAAAATAAGAACAATTTCTTCAAGAAATATAGAATCAATTTTTACTTAATAAAAATTTCATCACAATTTTAGTTACGAGAATATATTTTTGCTATAAGTTAAATATTCAATTAAATATGTTTCAAATATGTAGAATTATCGCTAATTAAATTTTACCGATATGAATAGATAATAAGATCTTGCTTTCTAATTAGCTTTGAGTTTAGTTTATTTGAAATATATGTACATGGAAATTTTATTACAGACTTGTTAAGAAATGTAATATTGAAAATAAGATATTGCGACAGCAAATAATTTCTTTATCATATTAGCGAGATAAAAATTGGTTTTCAACTTTCAGATGAATTTTTTTCTAAGATTTGATCTTTCTGACGCATCCAGCATAATATAAAACCTACTCCTCCTCTCTTATTTTTTATATTCTCATAAAACATTATTATATTAGTATATACAAACTATTATATATAACAGAATTAAGTAAACGAAAATTTTCTATAGTTGAAAGAGATATTTTCTTGTATGGAACACTAAAAGAAAGCGCTAATATCGCTTTTACCGTCGATATAACTCGTAAAAGCAAGACCCTGCGTGATATTGCTCTATATCTTTTCTCCTCGACAGATGTTATCAGAATTACTAACTAGATCGCATGCGTGCGCCACGAGATAACACGGCTATGTGCTCGAAAGAAAAGCTTCATTTTTAATTAACTGAAATAGAAGTTCGCACAGCAACTCAGACGCGAGCTTTTATGTAATAATAACGTGCGGCAACGCTACAATTTATCTGCACACGCGAAAGCATAACATGTTATTAATATTACTGACCGTTATTAGTTGGAAAAGCATTAAGATGACCTAAATAAACTTCTGTAAATTGGTGCTGGCATTCTTGTTACAGAGTTACACTTTTAATGATAATGAATTACGAGATTTGATTTTTATATTTTTGGATCGCGTTATACAGGATGTTCTCCGAATCTTTGACTTAACTTCATCAATGTATTTTAGTTGTACTAATGAAAAATTTTGTATAAATATTTACATAATAACTAACTTGTCTTGTCAATCCGTGTTTTAATCCATCACAATGTTTTCCATCAATATTTTGTTTTCGAAATTATACGTCGAAGTGTACAAAAAGGAATTGTCGCGAATCTAGCACATGATGATGTCTATTTTATCAATTAACGTAAAGTAACGAATGTAACTCTGTGCACACATGTGCAGCACTGGCAGCACAAATTTTACACGAGAATATCATGAATATCCGTTTGTACGTGAAAAATATGAGCAAACTGATATAAAGCAAATTCGTTAAAAAAGCACCTTTATTTTTTCATGACTTGTATGATTAAATCAAAATGAATCAGAACAGTGTAAAGGAGTGAAAAAACGCACGGAAGACGGGACAATTTATTCTGGCTAATTAAAAGATTGTTCTTTTAGCAGTAGAAATATGAATCAAATGGAAAAATGTTTTGATAGTATTGATATGAACCGTTTGGTATTTATCGATTAATGGTTAAGTGGTTTAATTGGTATTGCTCCTCTCGCTTTTCTCGCCATTCTCGTTATGAAATTTTTGCGAGAGTAGACTGATGTGGTTAATTTTTATAAAAAATTGATCGAGTAGCGAAATATTGTACAACTTTTTAAAGAAATGCAACTTAATCATAAATCATCAGTTAAATATAGATCAGCCTCGTTTTCTACGTATATAATCTATAAACATGGTCTTATCTATATCTATATTATTTTACTATATCTTTATTACGCGTACCATATAAATCAAACACATATCATAAATTAAACAAATATAGAAAATGTTAAAATTGAAATAAATCGTATATATAATTCTACTGATGGCACTCACAAACATCCGATGCTTCAATTTCATTATTAATATTATGAAGTTTTACGTCACATTACAGTTACGGATATGAATGGCTTTATGCAAAGATTTCATTAAAAATAAAATGATATGATTTTATTTTATGTAAGACTAATATTATGAAATTTTCAATATTTTTATCATATTCTAACGATCAATGGCCACTATTTTAACTTCTAATTTCGAAATTCAAGTTCTACTTCTAAATTCTTCTAAATTCAAAAAGATGCGTAAGATTTTCTATACCTACTTGACAAAGAAATTTTTAAATTTATACCACGATGAGAATGGAAACATTTATTTGTTGCCTACCTCTCGTCATCCACTTTCTAAAGATCCTGAAGATACTTTCCTTCTAATCCAACAACTTCAACGCAACGCGAAAATGTCAACTCGGATTAGCGTTACGCGCTGGTAAAGGTCTTAACATTTACTCGCACATCCATGTCGAATTTTCTCCCATCTTCAATGATCATCAAATTAACGTAAGTGCATTTTTGGTTCTTGACAAATTTTAAATTATTTTGATATGTTGATTTATATGAATGATTACAACACCAGGCGTCACAAGATGTTAAATTATCGCAATTAATATCAAATTTATAACATCTGAAATAAATTGTTTTGAATGATTCTTACTGCACATTTAGAACTAGTACGGTATTTTAGTGGCATAATTCTAAATTTATTAAACGGAATATTGGCACGTTAAAATTTTATAATAAAATTGTCACGTATTAATTACATAGAAAGAACGTGAATGTTAAGAAATAACTAAATAATAATGTAAAACATTATTAAAGTGCTCTTATATTTTACATATACGTTGAAAATTATAAACAAAATAAATTAAAAATTAGAAATAATGTTTTATGAATATGTTAGAAACGAATGCCTTACGAAGCAATTAATAGTTTAGTAGCTTTGTATACGAGAGAAGACTATAATTTATGAAACATAACATTTATTATTCACATTTCTTATTCGTTACAATGCTTATTAGAATATGGGGATCACTAAACATTTAAACGACAAATTTCTTGACAAACGTAAAATCGATATTCTCTTGAAAATTTGATGGAAAGCTCAATTACATAGGTACTTGTAATATTGAATTAAAGGACTTGGATCCTAAATTAAGTATTTAAAATGTAAGCCAATATCTTCATTTCTCAATTAATTTCACTCAAATTTTTGACAGAAATTAAATGCAAATTAATTGTTAAAATAATTGGAAAATTAAAATACGTTATATGTGAATATCTTTAAAATATTTGTTTGGAGAAAAACAAAACTCAAATTCAACGTATAATCAAAGTGTTTCTTCAAAGTTTAGCAATTGATTTTGTATAATGTAAATTAAGAAATTTGATAAGTAGTGAAAAGTTAGCAAAGAGTAACATTGATAGCGAAATATATACAGGAAAAATTGAAGCGTAAAACGAGATCATAAAATTTCAATCTTGTAAGCTTTGGATTTCGAAAAATGTATCGAGTGTGATTCTTTTTTTTTTCATTTATAGCATGGAAATTTGAACTCACAAGGAAAAAATCTACCGATTTCAACTGTTAGACTGAATTTTCGCGGAAATCGCTCTAAATATACATTCTATCGCGTTTGAATCTCCGGAACTGCTTTTCATATCGCTGAATTCTCTCGCGTGTTCGCGAAATGAATAGCGATGAAATGGATCGGACAGTCGAGGGATTTTCACGATGCCGTGTCGATGTATCGCATCGCGTGAAAGTGAAACACTTATAATCCACGTATGGGGAAAGGGATGGAGGGTCCGCGCGAAGCAGGACCGTCCCGCTACAGTGCAAACGGAAATAAGGAAGGGAAAAGCGGACGAGCTTTCGACTCCCTCCCGCCATATTTTTTCCAAATCCTTTTTCTTTCCACATTAAACAATCACTTTTTGTCTACTCACTTTTGTCGCAGCGCACACTTTCCACGATCCTCGTGTGTAGGCGGACTCGCGCTCTCTTTTGTTGTTTATACTGCGTACGAGTAAAAGAGACGACAACGCGCGGCGGGTGATGTGTGAAGTATAAAGAGACAGATGGAGAGAAAGATAGAAACGGAGATGTGGGAAACGAGGAGATAGAAAGAGCGGACGAAAGCGCGTCTCGCGTGGATCTCACCCTCGCGAGAACACCGGACGTGAATGTTCGGGGAGGGGGAGGCGGCGATGGCGACGGCGGTGGTTTTACGCGCGTTTTATAAGCCCAGACACTGCAACGACATGTGCACGCGACGGCGTTCGGGACGATACTGCGCCCTATTGGACGGCCCTGCGCAAATATAATGGCGCCCCTCTCCTGCGGTACGTCCACCCCAACCTCGGCGTCGGTGCTACACCACTACCCCGATCTGCTGTACGCGTCTCTCCCTTGTCGAGACTGGTCCGTCGGTCGCCTCTTCTTCCCTATCCTTTTATCTTTCGTCCTCCACTGTCCCAGGCTATTCTCCGCGACAACCACCCTTTAATTCCCCCGGCACCCTCGCGGCATCTTTTCTCTCACCCCCTTTCTCGCTCCAGTCATCCTTGCCACTCTTTCTCGCTGCTGTCCTCCTTTTTCTTTCACCGTGGTCACCGCACGACCCTCGGCGCGTCGCCCGAGGGCTCCTTTTTGCGACAACGCGACACGAGCGCAACGGCGCGCTTCCGGTGCACATCGATGGCTACTTCCGTTCACGCTCGATGGGCTCGGCGCGACGCGAAAGGGTTGTTTCTCGCGCTCTCGGGCACCCCTACCATACTCACCGTAAATGCGGAGGTAATCGCGTGCAGTTGAAGTTACGCTCGCGAGCACACCGTTCAAGGAATGGCGTACGCGCGCCTGTTAACCCTTCCTCCGTTCGGAACTGCATTTTTGCCGGATGAACGAATTTTAATTGCATGACCGGCTTATATAAGAACGCTTAGAATAACCAATACGCGATCTCATCGACCCTTTGGCTTCACGCAATCTGAGTCGGGAACGACATTCTGAAAATTGCCAGCATATTTTAAGGATTTCCACTGGAGCGACAAGAGTATATTTTAAGAATTCTTACCGAGCGACTACAGCATACTTTAGGATATCTTCAGCAAGTGAGTGTGAAGTTTGCTTCGCTCACATCTCAATTATCTCAATTATCTCAATTTATCACGTATATATTTATTCGCATCATATGTATTCTTTGATTTCTTGCTTATTTATTTCTATTCGGCAAGCGAGTGATCAAACAAATGTTTACATCTCCACAATTTAAATATGAAATTGTTTATTATATTCTTACATACATTTATTTCGCATAATTAGTAAAGCAGAAATTAGAACGTACATAGATAATATAAAAATTTGTGTTAAATAATTTTTTGGATATTTTGCGTCGCCAAAATTGATCGTGAAATTTGTAGTTAATTTAAAAAGACTTACCTTGTAAAATATTTCGGGATTGTTTGTTCTGGCGTTAATGTTATTCACTACATCGCGCGAATAGAATGAAAAAAAATATAAAAGACTAATAAAGAATGACGTAAAAAATCCTACGTCGTGCATAATGAAGCCAAGGTAACATTTGGCTCTTTTTAATGTTCATTATCAGCTACAATACATATTTAACTTTTTGCCATTTAGTGTAATAGAATTTTAATTGCCTAAGAAATTTATTTACTTAGTAATTACATATAATTAAGTTTATTTTGATATTATTTTAAGTCGGAAGAATAAAATTTTCACATGTATTTCCTTTGCGCATTATTATTTTGGAATGGCATAAAATTTTACATTTTTTTCTGTATAAAATAATATCACAGCTCTTTTATGCTTTGCTTTAATAATAAAAAGTATCACGCAAGCACTTTTACTTTTGAAAATTATGTCAGTATCGTTTATAACATTGTTTTATTCAACAGCTTAGTTTGTTGTACAATTGTATTTTATAAACGACTCAAAAGATCTTAAGAATGAAATAGTTAAAGAATTCTTTAACATTAAATAAACGCATCAAGTTTTTTTGCAGTATGTACTTTGTACGCGCGTGCCTTTCCGATAAGAAAGATTCACGTTTCATGGCAAAATCAAATCTTAGAGATGTAGGCCAATCGAGGAATAACGCGGAAGTAATCTGCTTTAAGCGCGGCGACGAGAATGTTTATCGTACTCCACCGCTGATCGCTACAACGCGTACAAATAATAAACCTTATCGACCCACCAGTATATCACGAATAAATCTTGGAACTCGATTTCCTCTTGAGTGACAACATCGCACAGGTTATCGCGCGACGTTTCCATGCAGAGCAATGTGACCGATCTCTGGCATTTCCCATTTTCACATTTTCTACCGTCGCCGAAGGGTCGTAGATCGATACTTTGTCTGAATCGATAAAAGTTAGATGGATATTAGTAATTGTGTTTTAAAAAAAATCGATATTATACATATGAAAAGTAAACAAAACATAGAAACTCGTACAACAAAGTCGACGATTTTCCTTCCTCACAATCAGTACAAGAAAAGGACAAAATATTCCATAAAGTAAAATACAAATAATTTACACAAACAATTTTTATACTATTTTTATTTATTGTAACAGTTGTTAGTTTTTACTTCTGACAATCAGAATGATTAATTGCTTACAAGATTTTTTTATCATTACCAAATTGAATGAAGTAGTATTTAATCTAAGAGCTTTCAGTATTTTTTTAATTGATAAGCACTTAATCGATCAACGTTGATAATGCACTTTAGCTGTTATTGATTCTTTAAATTTTGTTTACATTTAACTCAGTATTATTAGAATTTTATTGTCATCACAAATAGGAAATATAAAAATTATTTTATTAGAAGAAGCTGTGTGATATATACGTCAAAATAATCGTAAGCGATCACAAGTCTTTCTTTATCGAAACGTATTTGCGAGAGAAAGAGAAAGCCTGCATTCATAGTTGGTTCATCTACGATAGAGCGTTGTTGTAGCATCCGTTGCATGGTTATAAACGTATCGCGTGAAACTTTCGTCTCTGCAATCTCTGGATCCATTGTCATGTACTTCAATATAGCCAACTATACGAACCTTGACCCGAAAATGCTTTCCACGTGTCATCAGAGTTGTTTCGGTTTATCATCATTGTTTTGAACATTTATTATGGATGACTTGGATGATTTGGATGACTTTTTGTACAAAAATCAAGTGTATCTACATATGTCAAAATGGAAAAATAAGTTTCTAAAAAACTCACTCCGCAGGAAAAAATGCAAAACAGTATTTTATTTCACAGACAATTTATAGCCCAATAACGTAAATCTTAATCTCCGCTTAAGCATTAATTAAATTTCAGTTACACACTAATAAATATTAATATATAGCATTGAAAATAATTAGAAAAATGATAAATTCTTGTATCGAGAGAAAACAATTTTCGCTGTATCAAAATTCTTCACAATACATGATATTCGAAATATTTCTTTTCTCCGATGTACTGTCATTCGTCGTTGTTTTTCATTACAATTTCGCCCGTTCACGACGAGTTATTCTCCGTTAAAATCGGTTCCGCAAGGACGCTTAATTTTAGAGTCTCTCTCTAATCAATAAGCGAGAGCAGATTTTTTTACACCGTTATATAAATAGAGTCTTTTATTAAAGTAACCTTAGTCGGCGCGTATGAAACGAATTAGCTTATTTGTCATATATTATTCTGATCCCTTTATGATAAAGAGAAAACGGTAATTTCTATCGACATAATGTCAATAATGATGTTGATATGAGAAAATAAATTGTAACAATGTAGCAAAGCGCATTGTAAAACTGTTGATCGATATAGTTTGTAATGTCAAACGCAAATTTCTTTTAAACAGTGCACCATAAACGTATCGATATTACAAAGCATGGCCTATGTATAATTCGCAACGAGATGCAAATCTCGACAGATTATACGTTATGTTCTGCGACACGTTTTTACTTGGAACTCGGAATTGCACATTGTATTAACAATCGCGTGAATCGATGAGAATTCGCAATGCGACAACAGAAGCCGATTGTTTTGCCGTTGTTGTAATAAATGCACCCATTCCACGTCTCACTTTGCACGGATCTTTATTGTTACTTCCTTCGGTTTTCGCAGTGGCCCATATTCTACGCTCTCCCGCGAGACCAGCGGTATTGCACAGTTTTGATCTCGGAGGAGCGATCTTGTCGCTACAAAATATGCGGCCGCGTTACGCGCCCTATAAACGGAATGTTTTCTGGAAACTTTCCGCTGGAATCGAATAGAGCGCGAACGAAACACGCCGGATAAATGAAAGGGTTTGCTCTGTCTATCGATCTACGCGTTATAGCGCTTCATTTCTACCACAGATTCAACTCGCGTCGTGACATTTCACTCAATGTTCACAACAATGTTTATTGTTGTTCGCACGCCACTTTGTCAAAAGTGCTCACAAGAGTTAATATTTCACCTTAACATCCCGATAAATTATTAAGGGAATTCGGAAGATGGAAACATAGAAATTGATTTTCGTTGTATAATGTGCAATATACGTAACTAGAAATCGAGTTCTTAAATCATTTTTCACTATGGCGATGAGGAATCTTATACATTTTTGACTAGTCACTAAGAACAAAGTCAACAAAGTGCAAGCTGTATTAAAATAATTATTGGCGTGAAGTAAGAAGTTTCTATTGTACATATTTTCTAAGTTCAACGAACCGAAAGTTTCATTGTTTCGCAAACACGGAGCCATCGATTTCGGCACGAACGCTATTTAAACAAGACAATCGGCATGACCTCGTTTCTCAATATACCACTTCAAAACGTAGAAGTTCGTAACATCAAATTTGTTCGCCATGTACAGCTTATAAACTTAATCTTTTCTTCAAAAAGTTGAAGAGTTGCAAAATGGGCAGAGGTTATATTTATTCCAGAGAAGCCAAAGAAATCCCGAGACTGATTGCGCGAAAAACAATGGACTTAAATAGTCATATATTCATTTTAGATGGCATCTTCAACACATTTGTCATTGTTAGGAATTACTTAAAAATATGGACTAAAGTTTTTTTTTGTATATCCATTATATATGGTTTTTTTTCTGCGCATAAGGACTACGACTGTCGGGTAATGGAAGGCCCGTGCACTTTCGGGGAGTTATCGTAAAATTGCAGTGACGAAAGCACTTGCTTCGCGAAGTGTAAGCAACGGATACCGTCAAGACTCTGTTGTCGGTCGCGGAAATTATTCATAGCTTCGAGCAACGTAATATCTTACGGAGCTCGAGAGCTTATCCATTTGTGTATTCTTCTTTAATATCGCGGAGTCGCATTTCTTGTGCCTCTGTGAAAATGCAAAGGCGCTAATGTCACCGCCGGAAATCGTGAATTCTACTTATTTTCATGCGCGACCTATATCCGTGCCACTAGCTTCTTGTGCTTTGTTCCATTTATTTCCGACTTCCTTCTTCTCGCAGACTCCTGTCGAACAGCCGAGCCTCGAGAATAACGGAAAAAGCTTTAGTTATTATTTGTCGTTAAGCAAGAGTTATAGCGTTATTTCTTCAAAAACAT